TTGGACGTCCTTCTTGTGAAAGAAGAGGTTCTATTTAGAACATAGGTTCCTCCAACTTGCTTCGTTACAAAGGATTTGTATGTGATGAGTTTGAAGAGTTGAAGAACACTTGGAACTTTGCTTGAGTTGGAAATAAAGATTTTTCCAACTTCTGCCTTCTCTTGTAGAGGATGATGAAGTTTCAATCTCAAGGAGGCTTTTTGCGTTTTTAGCGTTTGAATATCTTGTGTGCAGAGTTGTAGTAAAAGTTATGGCAAAGTTATCCGGTTGTTCTTCGTAGTGTATCTTTTATACTGAGGTTGTCTTCCCGTTGGAGGAGAAGGGGGACAACTGCATTCAATGAGCGAGCAGTTGACTTGACCAGTAGGACCCGGTAAAGTTGGCGGGTTACTATTTTGGGATAAAGTAATCCTGACATTGCGGCCAATCATCTGCAATTACTCTACAAAGTACGGGAGGCATTAAATGTGCATTTAATGCGCGTACTGTAGCTTTTCCGTTCAAGACTCCTAGCCGTTGAAGGAATCTTTCAGTTGGTTTCCCGGCTTGGTGGAATTCTTCTAAGTGTCAGGCCTTCTTGTGTCTTTAGCAGAGGGTTGATCAGAGAAGGACTTGAGCACTTCTGTTGAAGAGATATCCAACAGAGAACCAGGAGGGTTTCTGTCAGAGTAAAGGCTAACAGAGACCCTGAGGTCTTCTGTTCTAAAGCAGAGAACAAAAGGTCCTCTTTTCAACCAACGCCTTATCAAGGGTCTTTTGCTCAGGAGGCTTTCTGCTTTGTAGGTCTTCTGCTCAGTCGATTATACTAAAGAATTTTACAAAGGAAAATTCTAATACATTAAGTCTAAAGAGGGGTACTCTAAAGTCCTAATTAACCTAGCATCATCAAAATCTAATTACAAATATTCCTTACAGTAATGATCCTGGAACTTTTGATATGAATAGAGGCAAGTTTTCGTTAAAAAAAAGAAGTGTGTGTATTGAGTTAGTAAATTCAGTTTCTCTCTATAACTTAGTATCGTCAATAAATTCATCTAACACATTATTTTTTTATCAAATCCTCACTTGATATTATACATCAATTTTTATTTAACTTGTCTTTTGCGAATAATTGTAATTTTTTAAGGAGACTTAAATCGATATCACAACATTCAGTTGAGAAGTAAACACACAAAAGGACCACAAACAACTGTCAGCCATCGAAATAGACTTAGAGTTAATCGCCTTCAAATAAGAAATATAACTCGTTGATCTTGTATTCGGCATAAATGAGCCAAAGATGGTCAAAGCAGACCTCTCATCACTCAATCCTAATGCAAGAGTCTTACAACAGTAAAAATAAGCAACGAAAATGTAAACGTCTAACCATGAAAAATAAACAACAAAAAACAATAACATTAAATAAGATAAAAAGAAATTACCATTAATGGGAGTCAAACATATGAAATGTTCAAGAATAGGAGCTGTTAAGTTTATTTCCCTAAATAGGAGTTCTTGTCTGCCGTCGGTTCCAACTATTTTTCTTTTTTCCTTAAATGCCCTTACTTTATATTTGATACTATTTTTTTCATTCCATTGCATCTCATTCGTCATTTATTCTCTTTCTTCTCACACATTTTCTCCTCATCCATCACGTGTCTAATCTCTCCCACCTTCTCCTTTCTCTTCCATCTTTATCTTTTTTCTTCATCCTTCACTCACATCTTCAAGATGTCTCCCACGTCTTTTTCTCTAGTTTTCCCTTCTTCCTTCTTAAATATTAATTATTTGTTTTCTTTCCTCTTCAACTTAGTCAATTTCACCATTCCTCTTCTTCGTCAGATTTAAAGAATCCACCGTTCCTGGTAAATTTCAGGTGTGAATGGAAAATTAAACCCCATCTCCAGTCAAATCTACTCAAAGGTATGTCTTTTTCTTCTCAGCCTTCTCTTTCTATCCCTTCTTCTTCTCCTTCAATCTCTCATTTTGATTTTTTAATTTATCTTATTTTGAGGTTCTAAATTTGACAAATATTATTTCAGATCTGACTTTTTATTATTAAAATACAAACATCCGGTGATTGCATAAAACTGAATTTGATATGTATTTATTAATTTTGATTTTTTTTATTTTAAAATTTTCAATTTAAGGATTTTGGATCTGAAAATTCTATAACTAATTTTTATTTTTCGAAAACTTTTTTTGAAAGCAATCTCATTTTTATGATATTAAATATATTAAGATAGCAAAATTATTCATTTAAAAATAATGGCAAACTTATTTTACAAATGCCATGATTTCAAAATGTTTGGCAAAAAATGTCATTTTGCATAAAAAAGATGGCAAAATTATTTGTAAAACATGGCATTATTTGCCTAACATATTCATGTAATTGCCATCTTTACGAAATTAATGTCAACTTTATAAATGTAAAATGACATTATTTGCCAAACATATTGAAAAACACTTCATAAATGTAAAATGATATTATTTGCCAAACATGTTGAAAAACATGACATTTTTAAAATAATTTTGTCATTTTCGAAAAATAAACATTATAATATATTTTTCAGATCCAAATTCATTAAATTAACTCAATGTAAAAAATAAAATAAAAAGTTAAAAGAACAAATTAAAGGTGAAAGAAAAATTGAAAGAGAATTAAAAGAGAAGAAGCAAAAAAAGTACATTAAATAACATTTCAATATTTTAATAAAGATTATGATTTAATCTATCTAGCAGGCAACTAACTTGCCTAATATGGAAGTAGACGCATTAAAAGAATTAGCGGTGGTGGTGGAGGAGATGGCGGCCATCCAAGCGGAGGGCTCGCCGGAGGGCTCACCGGAAGGCGGCGGCAACGGCGCTGGAAAATACGGAAGTGGAAAATACGGTGGCGGCAACACCAAGTCTGGTGTGGTAGTATGTAGACCAGATCTGTGTAAAACTCTATTTTTGTATTTTGTTTTATGCTCCGTATTAACTAATGAATAGCTAATAAATAATCCAGCTTTAATTGCAAAAAAATAATCCAGCTTTCATTACAAAATCGGAAGTCTTCAACTTCTTTTAATTAAGGGGTATTATGGTCACTTGCATAAAAATTTCGTGTCAAACATTGTTGACAAAGTAGGACTCCTATTTTAGCATAAGTATCTATGTTCTACTCCCATATTGGGAATTTTCTCTAAGATAAACTGATAGAGCGGTGTATCCAAACTTCAAGCATCGTCTTCCAAACTCTAGCCACACCGTTCTTCCATTGCAGCGATTCAGGAGGGGGACGGATCATCATCCCTTCTTCTTCTTCTTCCTTCGTCACCTGAATAAATTGATCCACCGTTGGCACTCCTATTGTCTGCTTCCAATTTTTTTTAGAAGATCTTCACAAGTTTATGCAAGAATTGTTCATTGCAAGCTGGTGCTACCCCAACCAAGCCACGCCTAAGCCTCCAGCATCGAGGAACAAGAGTCTCGTCCCTGAAGCCGCCCTCATGGAGAACCCGATCACACCCGGATGTACATGAAATTTAAAATTTCAATATGTATTTGAATTTTCTAGCGAATAATTGTGTGTAAAGGGATGATGGATTTAATTAAGGGATTGTAAAGGGATTTAATCTAGTGTGACTAAGAGCAAGGTTCTAGCATGTCGTAATAATATAAATAGGCAAGCTCTACTATAGTGAAATAACGCACTAGGGTAAAGCCCTATGACGACATAGTGACTTACTAAAAGTTTATGTTAGTCGTGATTGGTAATCACGAGGCATATGGAGGGACGTTTCAAAATGAACATGGGCCTACAAGGCGACTACTTGATTTTATATAAAGTAAGTATATTTCCAAACAGGGTAACCCAGGGTTACAGTCTGTATTATGATATCACCCTACTTGAGGGTCATAGAAATTGAAACATTGATTATATACAGTGTAGTTGTCATTGTACTTTTCAAATGTTTCAAAGTACTGACCTCCCCTTCACAGGGGAGGCCAACTCATAGTTTCAGGTAGAAGCTGAGCTTGCTACCACTACTCGTCAATTCGAGGAAGGATCTAGGAGTGAAGACGTGGTTCGTGCTTCCTCCGTTTATGTTTTTAAAACAATATAATAATGCTCATGGATATTATTTCCTGATATACTATTTTGGGGCTTGTATGCCTAAGTTTGTCAAGTGTGGCTTGAACACTTGTAATATTGTTTCCGTAGCTTTAATGAATATTTTACATTATGTTTGTTTATCGATATACTACATGTGAATGATATTCAAGACGCCGATTATAGTATGGATATGCTTGACCGTGGTTGATTATTCGTATTGTACGACGGATTGTTGACGTGTCCGGGTAGGTCCGGGGCATGACATCTATAGTTATTTCTATCAATATGTTTTTATTTTCTTATTTAGTTACGAGTATTTGTTTGTATTTTTAGAAATTTTCTAACTTTATATTGATTTACTAAATGCTATTGCGATGTACACTTAATTTGTTTGGTGTGAATGTTGAATGAGCTAATTTGTAAATTTTTAAATACTAGTTGATTCGTGCTTGTTTTTCTTATTCAGTGTTATCAATAGTGAAATTATGGAATTCTCATTTCACTATTAATTAAATTAAATGCTTTGTATTTTATAGAGAAAATTACTAATATATATTGTTAAGGATTTAACTAAATTATGTATGTATTTATATTTTAGTACCATGCCTTCCAAATCTTTCTTGATTTCAAAAGAGGAAAGAAAGTCTTTGGGGGACTTGACTCAAGGTTTCCAAAGGATGATGTCTCATGAAAAAGTGAATGAGCATGCCCGTCATTCGATGCCGATAGACGTGGAGTTGTCATCCAAATGTCATAACGAGCGACGCTTTAGTTCCAACTTGCATAGAGGGAGGGCCGCCTAGTAGGGCCCCTAAGGTACGGAGGAAGGTGAATCTTCTCGGCACTCTCACCTTGCGAGCAATAGGATTGACTCCCTCGAGATGGTCACATGAGAGATCTAATGTAGACGATCATTTTAGTTATTTTCATTTTTTCAATCTTATCAATAAAATACGTAGTATATTTTAAATACATTTTTCGTAATTCAATAGATTCAAACAATTCGTGACACAAAATTTCATCCATTTTAGTAAAAACAACTAATTCAACGAATGGAATCAAACAAGCAAGTCTTTCCTACTGTCCAAGGCCATGCCTATCTACTGCTGTAGCAGAGTGTAACAATTGAGTAATTGAGGTTTAATGAAAAATTCTTAGCTGTTTCTTTTTATGCTTTTGGGGTTCTTTATTACTCCACTCGTTTTCCTGATGGATGAGTTTAAACTGGTTGTCAGATTTATTTGATGAAGTTCGGAAAGGAATTCAAGGTACATCTGGAGGAAACCCTCCCCGAATGGAGGGACAAATACCTGCGATACAAGTACTTGAAGAAGCTACTCAAGTCCCTCCCTGCCCACTCCCCTTCCTCCTTGAATCCGGTCGGCGACGGAACCGGTGGAGACATTTTCCGTCCACCGCAGCCCACTGAGCTCCATGACTGGTTCATCAGATTACTCGGTGAAGACCTCGAAAAGTTCAATGATTTCTATGTCGAGCAAGAAGAGGAGTTCATTATTCGCTTTCAGGTTTACTTTTTCGTCTGCCACATACGGTCAATTCATAGGTTTTAGGTTTTTCTTTCATTTTTGATTCCTCTGCAAATTTTATGTCTTATCGTTCAATACCTAATCAGTACTGCCTCTGACAATTGAGTTATTCTACATTAAGGAAATCTCAACTTCCGTCCAATTTTTTGTTATTGATAAGGTTGCATCTGGTTTCCCGTTTCTGCATATAATTTTAGTATTTGTTCACTTTCTTATAGCGCTATCGTAATCAAATAACAAACAGCTCTAAATTGATAAGTTATATGATGACCGTGGGTGTCTGGGTGATGATGTGCTAGAGGATGAATTAAATAGATATCTGGTTTATAATTAACAAGAAGGGTGAAGGAATTCTGATAAACTGTTTAGAGCTCTACCTGCTACCATAAACTGTTTATCACATGCAAAATCTAAAAGAAGATGCAATCGTGCAAACCATGAAGTGTCTGGAATGCAATATAATTAGCTTAGTAGTATGTGTGAATAATAGAAAGGAATAGGAAGAGTATACAAGTGATCAAATTTCCATCCTGAGGATATTCTTCCCGTATGCTTGAGTATAAAGTAGAACCTCTACCAAGTATTCTCAGTTTGTACTTTAAGGAAATTAAATGAAATGTTGTGTCTTAGAAATTAATATTAAATTACATGCCTTGAATAGTAATGCACTATGAACCGCAAGTCATAGTATGTGTACAATTGGTCATTTGGAACCGGAGAAAGGCGCGTGAAAGAAGTCAGTAAGAGAAATAAGGTAGAGATGACATGGGGGAGGCAATAAACCTACAAAGAGATTCCAAGTTTCAAACCGAATAGATCAATTTTAGATATATGTTCTAACTCAGTAATAAGCTTCACTACAAAACGTACTGTCGAGCACCAAATGGTTTGAGGTCCTGAATTGTAAAGTTTGAAGCTAACAGTTGCTACAGGAACTGAAGGAAAGAATTGAGAGAGTGAAGGAGAAGAGTGGAAGAGACGTAGCTTTCACATCAGAGAGTGAGTTCAGTGAGGAAATGATGGATATACGCAAAGACTTTGTTGCTATACATGGACAGATGGTCTTACTTCAGAATTATAGCTCCTTAAACTTTGCAGGTAAAGTGTTCGCTTCCCTTTTTCTTTTTCTTTTTTATCTGCTAATTTGCTACTGAAAGAAAATTAAACTCTTGTTTGGTTCAAAAGTGGGGAGGCGATGAAAATGGAAGTGGTTAAAAAATATAATTTTGTTTTAATGAAGGAATGAAAAATATGTATAGATAAGGTATTGATGTACTTTTTCTGTAATTAAAATGTACTCCACATGCCTAAAAGCAGAGTCACGTTTAAAAACTTGTGTTTGTCCCAAAAAGAGAGTCCTAACTGAAGAAGAAAAGCTATTTTTCATTATATTTAGTAAACTAACAAAAAATTGAAATGCAGCTAGAATTGATGATTTCCACTCATTGTACCTTAATAAATTTCAAAAGCTACACCTTGATGAAACAGGACTTCCTTTTGAGATTGAGGCAGTAGTTATACAACAATAGTGATGTAGAATAAAGTGAAAGATCAAAAACAATTTTCCCAAATGGGGGGGGGGGGGGGGGATATGAAGTGTTTGGAGTATTATATAGCTCCTCCACACTTTCTTTCCCCTTCCCCTAATTCCCCCCAACTGAAGTAATTTGTAGCTCCTTCTCACATTCTCCCCCTTCCAACCCTCCAACCAAACAAAAACTATGGTGGTGATGCAACTTGTACTTTGCTTGTCTGTGCGATGATGATGATCACCAGGTCTTGTAAAGATCCTTAAGAAGTATGATAAGCGAACCGGGGAATTGTTGCGCCTGCCTTTCACACAGTATGCTGTTCACCAACCTTTCTTCACAACTGAACCTCTTACCAGATTAGTTCGTGAGTGTGAGGCTAACCTTGAGCTTCTGTTTCCTTTAGAAGCAGAAGTTATTGAGGAAAGTGCTCCTTCTGCCCCTGATCATCCGGAAGCTTCCTCTTCAAATGCTTCAAACATCTCCCGAGACACTAAATTGCAGCTTGGGGAGAAAAACGTGGACATATATAGGAGCACACTTGCTGCAATAAGAGCCATACAGGGTCTAAGGAAGGCAAGCTCAACTTCAAACCCATTATCATTTTCATCTCTTTTGGGGGATGTTGATAGTACAGGTTCAGTAACGGCAGAGAACTCTTCTGGCTCTGATACCATGTTTAGCTCTCGGGATGAAGAAGAGACAAACCAGGTGGCCAAAGTTTCTCGTTCCCCTAAATAGAAAACTCATTTTGTTTTTTGGCTTTTAAATTCTGACACAATATATGATTTCCTAGTAATAAATGATAGCCAATACAGTGTAACGTGAGGCCAAAATCCTAGGGGGTGGCACACTAGTTTCTCTTTTCTTTTCGTTGATTAAATTTGTTGTGAATGAATATAGAATTTCTTGAATTGATTCCTTGTATCTCTCTGAAGTGTATAGAATGATGATCTTGGGTATTGCCTTCATTACAAAAAGAACCTCATTTATCATGTTCTAAACCAAGCACTGAGGTGGAGCATAAGCAGGATCAAGGCAAATCATATGTGTTGTGGTACTATTCATCACCTAATTTTATTTAAACCACGAGTGTTAAACATTTGAATGTAACTTTTAAATCAATAACAAATTGTCTAGTATTAAACCAAAACTACCCCATTGTCTTTTTAGGTCTACACATTTAGAATCCGTTTTGTAAATTCATTGAAAGTCTAGGGGTGGACCGGTTCTGGTTCGGGCCCGGTTTGGGCCTGGGCCCGGCCGGGCCTCGGTTCATGAAAGGGGAGGCCCGGAACCGGCCCGGGTAACCCTGGGTCCGGTCCGGGCCGGGTAACCCCGGGTCCGGGCCGGGCCTCGGTTCATGTAATTTTTTTTTTGGCTTTTCCTAATTAACCCCCAACCCTCCCCCTCACCCCCCAAACCACCTCAAATGGCCCATCATACCCAGCCCAACCCAAAAACTTAAAAAAAATTCAAAAAAAAAAAAGAAAAAATAAATAAATTGGCCCGGACCAGGCCCGGACCAGGCCCGGATCAGGCCCGAACCGGCCGGGCCGATTCACTATTTAGCAGGCCCGGACCTGAACCGCCTACCTCACCGGACTGGGTGGCCCGAACCGGACACCACCGGTTCACCGGGCTGGTCCGGGCCCGCATAGTAGCGGGCCGGTCCGGTTGGCCCGACCCAAGTCCACTCCTAATTGAAACCCTAGCGAAGCATTGAATTGACTTAATATGTCGAATTATGAAAAAAATTATATTTAAAACTAGGGGTGGACTCGGGTCCGGGCCGGGTCCGGGTCGGGCCTAGGCCCGGCCGGGCCGGCGGTTCAAGAATGGTGGACCCGGGACCGGCCCGGGTAGCCACCGGGTCCGGTCCGGATCCGGGCCGGGCCTCCGTTTTTTTTTTTTTTTTTTTGCTTTCCTAACCCCCCCCCCCCTCACCCCCACCCTCCCAAACCCCCCCCAAACCCATCCTACCCATCAAGCCCAACCCAGGTGGAACCCCAAAAATGAAAAAAAAATAAAAAAAATTCAATTTGGCCCGGGCCCGACCCGGCCGGGTCGGTTCACCAAAATTGAGACCCGAGCCCGGACCCGCCCTACCCCCCGGGCCTAGGCCCGACCCGGACCCGGACCCGAGAACCGGGCCGGTCCCAGTCCCGCACAGTAGCGGGCCGGGCCGGTCCACGGGCCGGGTGGCCCGACCCGAGTCCAAGCCTATTTAAAACATATTTGATTAATAAAACACGTAAAAAAATTTAAAAAAGTACAACTTAGACATATCCATTTCAGCAAATTCAGTTACAAAAGGAACATCAATCTTACTAAAGGAACATCAATCTTACTGCCGTTTTGTTTATTATACAATTTAGCATGTGAGATCAAAAGTCATCTAACGAGCATTTAGTAAAAAATGACTAACCCAAGTTTAAAGTATGCGTTATTAAATGGGCCTTGATGTAACTTGTTCCTGAACTTTTCCAATGCACTTTCATTGATTTTACTACTAAAAATATTGGTCACGGAACTATAAAATATTTTTTTCTCCATCAATTTACTACGTAGTAAGAAAGTTTTTAATTGGACTTATTTCAAGACTAGACTAGATCAGAATAAATAGATCAAATTTAAACAGATTATATCTACACAATAGTAAAATACACACACTAGAAGTTTATCAAGAGAAACTTAGTGCATGAGCGGGGATTAGGCGGGTTGAATTGAGATTCCAAGAACATCCGTTAAAAGAGAATACAGGGCCATTGAATGATATAAACTGAAATTACAGATGTACAAGAGCATTTGTCATTTTCATTTCATTTTCATTTACCCTAGTGCCACAAAGGCTCTCACCTACGGTGGGGTAAGGGGGTGGGATGTATGCAGTCTTACCCCTGTACTAAAGCACAGAGACAGTTTTCGGATGACCCATAGTGAAAATCGCGTCCAAAATTGCATGGACTGACCGTTGTTCCATAACAAAGAAGCGCAGACAATCTAGTGAACTATTTTACTTTATTCCATCATAATCTCAAGCCAAAAAATAATGAATCTTTGGCTCCATTGCAAATGTGATTAACAAAAATGGTGAACAGTTAAAACAGAAGAATACAAATGGAAGTAGCTGGCTACTATATGCTCTTGTCTTCGTGGTTAAATGGCAGGGGCACAGACTTGAATGCTCGAAACTTCCCGACATTATTCAGGTGCTCATTTTCCAACCTGTTCAGTGAAATAACAAACTCCACCGATAAGCCATCTCCGCATTTATCGTTTTCCTAGTGTTTTATTTGCCTGTATGAAAGTCACAATGAGGCTACTGGCTTAACTATGCTAACCTGAAAAAATTCCAAATGCCTCGGCGAATGATTTCCAGACAAGCAACAATTGCAGCTGTGGCTTTTCTATGTAAAAATGGCAGGTTAAAATCTAGAACTATTTGCATCCATACAAGCCTCAATATCATATTCGTTACCTGCATTTAATTTGCATTAAAAAGATTTCAACAAACCAAATGATGTAAAATGCAGTGTTGTCAATCCTGGACAGCTGAGCAGGAAGGCCCAACGGAAATCACTGTAGCTGTATAGCTGATAGTGAATAGCAGGATGACAGCTATTTGGATAACTTTTATGGTGAGCACAAGATTATATGTATGCATATAATACATACAATACACAAAATCCATAAAATCTCAAACTTCATGACTCACGTTAAAATCTTTTTAAAGTAGTCCACTTCTAAACATGATGTAGGCTATCTCGTGTAGCCTTTAATGAAGCAGTAGGCTCCATCTCAAACAAGCTCCTAGGAGTTCTCTGGCTGTTGTGGAAGAAGCAGAAATGAGATGACTAAGAACGACATTTTTGAAGGCTGGGATGGGTTTTATGTACTTCCAAGGGTTTTAGTGGGATTAGTTTTTATTTCAAAGAAGCCTACTTTTACCCCTTTAAAATCCAAAACTACCCCAAAATTCTCTAACCCTAGCACTTACAAATAAGAACTGAGAAAGTGTCTTTAATAGGACCAAAACACAGACAGTGTACAAATAGGATTACTGTTATTTTCTGTCTAAAACATGACTCATTCACTCCTAATTGGGGAAGTTTTATACTTTTAATAGAACAAAGTAACTTATTTTTAGAATAAAAGATTAGTTATACCTATTTGTACACTTTGTCGATGTCTTACTTTTATTTGTATCCTTAAAATTGTGTGATTGAGGTTTGTGTAGAGGAGACAGAAAAAATAAGAACCATAAATTAAATAATAGGAACCACAATTTAATTGCTCAAACAAAAAAATGAAAAGGTTCTGGGACAACCAAAAAAGAATGATAGACAAAGTTATAATGGACAAATGTAGTATTTAATATGGATAAGCAATTATAAGGGCGATCAAACTTGTCAAAATTATAAGGGACGGAGGGAGTATGATCTAATATATACTCCGTAATATATTAAGGGTTGGAATTTCATCTAAAATATAAAACCTAATAGAAAAGTAGCTGCAAGTTCCTTTTTTCAAATACTTACAATTGCAACCAAGTAGATTGCCTTGTTTGAAACAAGGAGTTTGTCCCTCAACCAAGGGTTTTTGGAACCTTTTTGGAATAGACCCCAATCTCTAACAATGTCCCAATAGGTATTGGCAATTGTGGTAATTCCAGAAAAGACTATGGCTAAAACTCTCAGTGTTGTTCCTTTGTTTAGATCATACAGGGTCCTTAGCACCAGAGCAGCCACTGTTGAAAAGCATTTCAGACCATTTAGCCCTTGGCTGTGATCTTTCTCCTCAATAAAGCGACGAAGGCACTATAACATCATTATCATCCAATGTAGTAATGAGTTGATAGCTTTTGTTTCTGAAGAAATTAACTGGAGTATGACATAATGATCATCAGGCTGGTTAGCCATACCTGAAGCAACCGAATCCAGAATGGGATGACTGCTACAATTATATATAAGATTTCATAGACATCACTCTGTTGACATTTGTTTGATCTTTGTCTGAAGTTTCCCCATCCGTAATAACAGATATAGAATTCCAAACTCCTGATGGCCTGAACCTGAAATTTGAAAGCAGCAGTTGATGACTTTTTAGACATAAATGGTGCATGGATGTTTTAGTGTGTGTATGGTAGAGATTATTTTTGGAGCTTTTAACTTATTTTAAGTTCCAAATAAACTATTAGTCCTGTCTAGTAAAACTGATAAAGAGCTTAAACTGTACTTTTATTTGAAACCAATCTCCTATAGCATTTCAGAAACAAGTTCCTAGCATTTTATTTTGTTTTCACTGATGACCTTAATTGCAACAATAACACTCTTTATCATCCATCTATATTCAACATAAGGATTAAGGAATTCCCTTTTTACATAATTCAACTACCAGCCATTAATTTTCCAAACGCCTGTAGAGCTCTCAACTTTCAGCTCCTAGCTACATGCCTTGTAGCTACTTTGCTGCGTGTAACTAGTTTTTCAGATGTGAACAGTAAGGGGCAAGAATGGCATGAAGGCGGTGCTTGGTAAAAGCACCACCTGATTAGTCATTACTTGACTAAAGTCATTACGCAATCAGGATGGCCAGAGGACAACCAGACTATGCAGGGTGCTTCTTCTTCTTTTGTGGCTGGTCAAACCAATGGTTTACCATTCCTTACTGGTAACAAGTAAAACCGGGCCCCTTCGGTGGATAGTAAAGCCGAGGTGCATGTCTTTTTCTCCATTACCAATACAACAATAACAACATCCAAGCCTTAGTCCCAAATGAATTTGGAGGTCAGCTAACATGAACCGATATACTCCCTCCGTCCCAAATTATTTTGCAAAGTCAACATTTTTTGGTCAACCAATAAAAAAAGTCAATGCTCCCAATCGATAATCAATTCAATTTTTAATAATTAAAATTTATATATTCAGAAACTACATTGAAATCTCTTCAAAGTTGTAAACTGTTAGGAATGGGCCTATTATTAGAAATAATAATAAGTGGGCCTATTATTGTAGACAATAATAAGTGGGCTTGTATTATAAATAGAAGTACTAAAATAGAAGTCTGGAGTCTAAGAATGGTAGGCAAGTATTTTGGGACTTGGATAGGCTAGGAGACTGGGCATCTCGAATTGTCCGTTGTATTCATTCCGTAAACACATCGTTCATCAATAAACATTTTCTTCATCTCTTCTTGATCAATTTCTTAGTGATTCTCTACAATTCTAAGTCAGAGTTATCTGGTTCTATCAATGGTATCAGAGCATCAACTATCGCTGGAGACTGTTAAGATTGCGCAGATGAACTTAGCGATGGAAAAAGTTGCGATGAACTTGGCGATGCTACAGGAGACAATCTCGAAGAGCAACAGTAACTAAAATCGACCGAGGAATCCGTCGTTCACAACGCACAGCTCGCAGCACTCTTCGCATCGCCAATCGCTCACCAGTTCGCAGGAATCGTGAACTGTTCCTTCGCATCGCACTTCGCGACTGGTAGACGCGGGAAATTCTGATCAGTCTCGTTCCGGTGTGAATCGGGATAAAAGTGGTCAACGATCGCGATCGTCGCACAGTCCAGTACATTCCAGAGGTAATTCCGTTCATTCTAAGGTCAACTATCATCGTCAGTGTGATGAACATACGAGAAACCCTGTACGCACCGGCAAAAACATAGATTTACCATTGTTTAACGACGAGGGAGCATATAACTGGATTATACAAATGGAGAGGTATTTTCGGTTAAATGACATTGAAGAAGAAGAGAAGGTTGAAGCTTCTAGGGTTGCTATGGAAGATAGGGCTTTGAACTGGTTTCATTCATGGGAGTACCGGACTGAAGAAACTAACTGGGACACTCCGAAGAAATCTATCATTCGTAGATTTCAACCTGAGTTGATTTCTTCTCACAGTTCGAAATCACGGACTTCAGCATCCGCCAGCGGTTCACGACCAAGTAAAACTCTATCGAGAGAGGCTTCCCGTTCACAGATGTCATCCCAAACCGCTTCAGCGCCTTCACGAACAGTTTTGCTTAATTTGCAGACCTCATCTCTGGCGCAGTCGCGAACAGTGTCTACCAGTTCGCAGGTCTCAGTTCACAGAGCTCAGTGCGCGACTCATCTCAGTTCGCAGGACTCACCGCAGGTTTCATCACATATTTCTGCTTCTCACAGTCCGCAAGTGGAGTCAGTTTCATTACCGCAGCAGTCGGTGAGTCAGCTACAACCTAACTCTGAAGATACACTCATCATTGGTGATGAGGAACGAGGGGAGAGAACTTCTGTGGTGATTCAGTCCATTGCCATGGAAACTGAGAAAATAGAAGAGGATGAATCAAAGTCTGAGAAAAAGGACAAAATTGAAATACCAAATCAAATTAGATCCTCTGCAGGGTTTGTTAGTATGAGCTATGATCAAGGTTATTATTCTGAGCATCTGAAAGTTGCTGACAAGGTTGTTGTTGAAAAGCGAATGCACCGTTCTCCTGTCACCGAAGAAGAATTTGAGGCCCATGGGTGTTCTGGGGTGGATTATAAACACTTATTTGGTGGGGTGGTGATGTACTGGAATCCTTCTGAAATGTCTGGGACCAGTTTTTTGCGCCCTCCTTCACTTAGTTCAGATGATAGTTCTTGGGCATGGCGAGTGGCAGATATGAACAAGGTTGTTGATGACAGAGTTGACCTTGTTTCCTCTCACAATATTTCTTTTTGCTCTTCCTTTGATCTTTTTGGCTCAGAAATTAGTGAATATGTTATATCTGGAAGTAAAGTTCATACTGGCAAGGTTGCACAGACAACTTGTGTGCAGCAGCATCCAGATATTTCACTTTGGATACAATCAATTGAAATGCTGGAAACACAGATGCTGGAAGATGCAAACTTTGGCAACATAAGAGAACATTCTGCCTCCAGGACCTTGTTACTACTCCTTGCAGAGAAGAACATGAAGATGCAGCTTCAAGTACTGAAGCTAAAGATCCAGAATGCAATGTTGTATTGGGAAGGAAGAGGTGCTAGAATGAAGTGCAAGTGGGAGATCATGGTTGATTCCTATCACCCACCTTGAGGACAAGGTGGTTGTTTAGGGGGGGAGTATTGTTAGGAATGGGCCTATTATTAGAAATAATAATAAGTGGGCCTATTATTGTAGATAATAATAAGTGGGCTTGTATTATAAATAGAAGTACTATAAATAGAAGTCTGGAGTCTAAGAATGGTAGGCAAGTATTTTGGGACTTGGATAGGCTAGGAGACTGGGCATCTTGAATTGTCCGTTGTATTCATTCCGTAAACACATCGTTCATCAATAAACATTTTCTTCATCTCTTCTTGATCCATTTCTTAGTGATTCTCTACAATTCTAAGTCAGAGTTATCTGGTTCTATCAATAAGACACTGGTAATTCCAACTCAGTATACAGTAGATTCAATGAGAAATTAATAAGAACAAGATCAATAGGAAGTTATTGATGAAGAAGAAAAGTATGGAACGTATACAAAGCCTAGGACGATTCGAGATGCCCAGTCTCCCAGTTCTAAGTCTGACAGAATACTTGCCTACCATTCTTAGACTCCAGACTTCTATTTATAGTACTTCTATTTATAATACAAGCCCACTTATTATTATCTACAACAATAGGCCCACTTATTATTATTTCTAATAATAGGCCCATTCCTAACAATACTCCCCCCCTAAACAACCACCTTGTCCTCAAGGTGGGTGATAGGAATCAACCATGATCTCCCACTTGCACTTCATTCTAGCACCTCTTCCTTCCCAATACAACATTGCATTCTGGATCTTTAGCTTCAGTACTTGAAGCTGCATCTTCATGTTCTTCCTTGCAAGGAGTAGTAACAAGGTCCTGGAGGCAGAATGTTCTCTTATGTTGCAAAAGTTTGCATCTTCCAGCATCTGTGTTTCCTGTTGTATCCTTTGCCTTTGTTCCCGCATCTTTTCAAGAGAATTGACCTCACTTTGCTCATGACATTGAACAAGTTCAAAAGCATCTGATCTCTCCAAGGTATATCTTTTCACAAGTAGATACTGCTCTCTAAGTCTCTCAGCCATGAGTTTGATTCTTTCAGAGCATATTGAGGATAAGGCACACCCAGCTTTAACCTTTGCAAGGACACCCATCTGAACTTCAGTTGTTCTATCAGTAGACATCTTTAGGACTTCCAGAATTTCTGGTTGAAAAGCCTCCTTGATTATATATTTGGGCATAGCAAAGTTATCCTCCAGCAAGCTAACCACTTTTATTACGGTATCCCTCTGATTAGTCTCCTGTTTGAATTGCAGCATGGAGGATATACAAGTGTAGACTACTCGTTGACCCCCATTAGCAGCCCCTGTCAAATACTTGCCGGCTAGCTTCAAGTCCCTTTTAACCCCAAGCTCATTCAGATACATAACCCCAATGTTGGAGAACCCAGGAAGCTCATCATTATCATCACCCTTCTCCAAATGATCTTTTGTAGGGGCATACTTCTTCCGCACCCCATAACCTTTCATGTAGAAATAGTCCATATCATTATAAGTCGAATAAAATTGTTGCTTGGAAGTAAGTGATATCCACTCTATTGCCTTGGTGTAGTTCCTCTCAACTCCTCCTTTTACATATATATCACCAAGAAGTTCCATTGACCTAGCCTCGCCCTGATTGACCGCCTTCCAGAACCATGATAATGCCTTAGCTTGAGCACACCTCCTTTCTTGAACTGCTCTTTCACTAGATAAACCTTTAGGTTCAGCGGCATCTGATGCCTTTTCCTTGCTTTCATCGTCACCCTTAGTGCACTTCTCTGCATTTTCTTTGACAAAAGAAGCACTTCTATCATCAAAGGATGGTTGCTGCTCCCTCACAGACTCTTGCAGGACTGTTGATACCTGAGAACTAGGAGCTATTGTTCGCGACAAAGCTGAAACAGTTTTCGATGACATCTGCGAACAAGAAGCTTCTCTCGATAGAGTCTTACTTGGTCATGAACTGCTGGCGGATGAAGAAATCAACTCAGGTTGAAATCTACGAATGATAGATTTCTTCAGTGTGTCCCAATTAGTTTCTTCAGTCCGATTTTCCCACAAATGAAACCAATTTAAAGCCCTATCTTCCATAGCAACCCTAGCAGCTTCAACCTTCTCTTCCTCTTCAAATTCATTTAACCGAAAATACCTCTCCATTTGCATAATCCAGTTATAGGCTCCTTCGCCATTAAACAGAGGTAAATCTACCTTTCCACCAGGTATTCTAATATGTTCATCACTACGCCCATGATTATGAACATTAGAATGAACTGAATTACCTCTTGAAGCTACTGGACTGATCGAAGCTCGCGTATGAGGTTGCTGAGGAGTTTGCGATACAGTTTGCGAACTGGGAGAAAAGATTTGCGATGAAGATGATTGAGGATAAACAGTTCGTGACGAAGCCTTAGAACTGGAAGTGTGAGGAGCGGATGGTGAAGACATCTTCGACCCAGTAGTAACCACTCGCGTATGAAGCTGTTGAGGAGATCGCGACCTTCCTCTGTTCTGGAATTGTTCCGCCATCGCATCCATCTTCGCTGCGATAATCTCCAGCGTCGATTTCATATCCTGATGATTTCGCTCCAGCGATTCCAATCTATGATCCATCTTGCCTCTCGTTCTGACCATTCACAGTTCGAACGATGAGAGTTTCTTCAATCCACGTAACTTTTCCGATCACAGTCCCGTTCACCATAAACGTAATGCTCTGATACCAATGATAGACACTGGTAATTCCAACTCAGTATACAGTAGATTCAATGAGAAATTAATGAGAACAAGATCAATAGGACGTTTATTGATGAAGAAGAAAAGTATGGAACGTATACAAAGCCTAGGACGATTCGAGATGCCCAGTCTCCCACTTCTAAGTCCGACAAAATACTTGCCTACCATTCTTAGACTCCAGACTTCTATTTATAGTACTTCTATTTATAATACAAGCCCACTTATTGTTATCTACAATAATAGGCCCACTTATTATTATTTCTAATAATAGGCCCATTCCTAACATAAACTCCAAATTAGAATATAATTAAAAATTAACATCGTATTTAAACAAATAAAATGAAACTGTTTGACCAAGAAAAGTCAAATTTGCAAATCAATTTGGGACGGAGGTAGTATGAATTTAGAGCTAAAGAAGGTAAAAAAAACAGGATAACATAAAAAGACAAAAAGATAAGATAAATGTATGATAAAGATAAGATAAAAAAGATAAGATGATAAAGAAGATAAGAAAGATAAAAAAGATAACAAATAAAAAAGAGATAAAAAGGAAGATGAAAAGATCAAAAGATAAAAAAAGATACGGAAGATCGCACTTTTAGTCCCTCAAATAATACCGATATTGAAATGTAATCCCCGTGATTTTAAAGGACTAAAAGGCGATTTTCCCAAAAAGAGAATAAAATGAGATTATTTTCCATTATCAGTAGATGATCGAATTATTTCTTTTTACGGTTCCTGTGTAGAGTCTACATTAATGTGGGGTGAACGAATTGGAGTGTTCCTTTGGGATTGTCCAATTATATAACTCATCAAGTTTTAGCTATGGCAATATTATTGTTACTCTTGTTATACTTCTCAGTTTGTTCCTCGGGCCTGATCGTCTGATTATTAGTGTAGGTTTGGTAGGACTTACTTAGGAGCTTATAGCTTATATTAAGATCCAAAAATGTCATCAACTCTACAACAACAAACAACATCCAAGCCTTAGTCCCAAAAGATATTGAGGTCGGCAACTCTGTTTGGTTTAAAAAGAATTTGAAGTATGCACCTATTTGAAAAGCTATATCATGTAGCATATGAGAAATCAGCTCTGAAATGAGTCAAACCTGGCTTGTAAATTGATCTGCCAAGAAGAAATCAGGCAGTGTGACCTGTACAAGTAGGGATTTCATAGGATGTTAAAGTATAACTATTAGATTCTTATAATGATCTATTCCAAATTGTGTCTTTTGACATATATACCTTGAAAAGAGGGGCACAAATACAACGCCACACACATTTGATGAGGAAGAAACGGTTTGAACGATACACAATATTGAGAGGACAGAATATTATGGCAAACAGAACCTAGAAATTACAAAAATAAGAGAATTATGTGGCCAAACAAAAAATAAAAATGCAATCAGTGCACTAGTAAGTAGTAATTGTAGTAGCTCGTTACACAATTACACTAGTTAGGATGAGCGGGACCGACTCAGTAAGCAACTTAAAACTTCTTGTTTTTGGATCCATTTCCATATCTAGGTGTGAGAGGACAGCAGCCAAAGCAAGGACAGAAATGCCCGAAGCAAGGAGGAGAACATGCCTATAACCAAGTTCTGTTCCTTGCTTGAAGCCAAATATGAAGGCATAGTTTATGCGGCATCTCCTCCAACAGTATATGTCCACAGCATACACTAGCAAGTGTAGGACGACAAATCCAAACAAACTACAATACAAAATACAGCTTATTAGTAATGTATTGATGTTCACTTGGTCTACGTTTGGATCTTGGAAAATGGTAGAAAATGGAAGAAATTGTTTAGGAAATTGATTTTTATAATTTGTGGCTTGACCATAGAAATTACAAACAAGAATCAGATTTGTTATATAATACTCCATATATAAATACACACACAAACTCTAAGAGTATAAAAAACACAAAATGGCATATATATGCTGGAATCCTGGAGTAAAAATATTAGATTACAATGTGACTTTAATTACACAGTTACTGATGGTTTCATTTGCCGTGAATATAGTGATCTACTGATCAAGGTGATATTCTAGTTTACTATGCAATGAACATAATAGTTTTTTACAGTTAATGTAGCGACTAGCGACCATGTAATGATATACTACGTATATGCCTGTGGGTTTTGTTTTAGACTTACTAACTTTATCATATGAAACCCCCTATAAATAAACAAGACTTTAACTCTGTTTTCTCTTGCATTCTCTTTCTTTCCATATTCACCCTATATTTTCCTTCATATATGTTCTTTCCTTAGCATTTTCCTGGTTATGAACGCAGCCTAGTGAATGTTAATAATCTGGGAAAACTAGGGAAATGCAAAGTCCGTTCAAGTACAAAAACCTGTAAAGCGGAAATATGTTTTCCATAAACTGACCACTCCCCTCATGTTCAAGAAGGTTTCTAGCACGAATGGAAACAAGAATAGCTGCAACCAATGCTAATGAGCAACCTGAGAACAAACCTGCAATTCAAAAATACATGTTTTATTTTACACTCTTAAGAATCCCTTGTTAGATGATGAAAGCGCAGAAATAAGGTCATAAGGACTTGAGTGAGACTAACTTACCAGTTGGATTGATATTCTTTTAGTATGATTTCACCCATATGCATTATGACTTAGTTGGAAGACCCCTACCCTATTACTAAGTATATCTGTTTCTTTATGAAGTTGCCTTATAACACTTATAAAAGTCCCCGCCTATACATTCTCATGGTGAGACCCTTCTTCATATCCTCACCTTGCAGGGACTCCAATGTGCACTACAGCACTAGGCTGCCCCTAATGATTTTTTAGTTACTTTGTATATTTGCCTACTTGTGCATCAAAGTTGTGCTCGACTAAGAATGTTTTCTTTTGGATTGAAATTTGCTGGTCTGGTGGTCCGATTTGTTTAAGTCTGGTCTGGTCTAAACTTGTTTGGTCTGCTTAAGTCTGGTCTGGTCTCTGTGTCTTTTATAACAGTCCAAGTCTAGTCTGGTCTATTTATGTCTGGTCTGTATAAGTCTAGTCTGGTCTGAGATTGAAAACATCCAAAAGAAAATATCCTAAGACTTCCATGCACTAGGCCAAGTCTAAATTGCCTGTAACTGCTTATTGCTCTTTAGAACATTAGTTATAATTCACCCAATTATGCTCACCAAGAAAGAATGTGTTTCTGTGTTTCTCGCGTTTCTTTTGTGGCCTTAAGTAAGACATTCCTTTCCTTCTGTTCCCGTTGGCGAAATGCTTTATGAATGTAGCTTCTGTTCTTTCCAACAGTCTAGTAATCTAAGGATCAAAAGGGAAAGACAACCAATACGTCATTGCAGGTTGAATAAATATCTATCTATAATGGAATTAATTAATGTCTTACAAGGAGGAAGTCAAACCTCATCAGAACTTCCAATACAAGACCTATCAACCATCTCTAGGTATGCCCTTGAAGCTTTCCTTGATGTGATCTATACATAAATATGAGCGTGTATCTTGAGGTTTCAATGGACTATATATGCCTCAATGGATCTACAGATTCTGGATCAAGGTATGATGGTCCAGATTTATTTGGAGATTGGAGCAATTCCCTCTCTCTTCCAAATCAATCTGGTTCGTCCATCATGCAGATCGTTTATATTTTAATTTTGATACCTTGTCATACTTCTTCATAATCTTGTAAATGGCCAGTGTGTTCAAGAAACTGGTGCAATGATCATAAAGTTTTTATTCAAAGAGGCAAAAAACAGGCACTCTATTTATTAAATCCTAACTAGGAAATGGATTACCAACCCTTACCAGTATCCCTTAAGAAGCCTAAGCTCATGATAGAAAACCAAGAATGCCTTTTTCAGTTGATCTTCAGCTTTCTTTAGCTCCACTCTATTGTACTTCAGTTCAGAATTTGAAATCTTCAGCACACTTGCCAAAGTGGATACTGGCGTTTCGGGTTCGACATTGATTCTTACATTATTCAACACTCCCAACGGGGCAGGCCTAAAATCTTCTTCTTGAATTGCGCCAGCTAAATGCAACTTAGCTTCTTCATTGAGCCCCATCACGGGTTTATCCACCATGACCCGGAGAGCAATGAGTGCATCCATTTGTTTGCTCAGCTCACCCGCTTCCTTCCTCACATCTTCCACTTTTCGGGAATAGAAACTCACAACTTTGTTGAATTCATTGTCAAGTTTTTCGAAAAACTCGAGCTCATAGACCCCTCCAGATTCTGATGACTTAAGGAACATTGTTTGGTAGTGAGGCGGTGCTTCCTTGCCATCCTCCGGCCCCATGGTGTTCACTAAGATCGCTTCATCCTCATGATTGATCGCTGGAGAATTTTCTGTCAGTCCACTGAATTTTCTGTACATTGTCAGCCTTCTCTTTATTGAACTCTTTGGAGTTTCTGGTGAGACAGTTGATGATGATGACATGGCATTCCGCTTCCGGAATTCTAGGATTTGCTTTATGATTTGTTTTAGATGGTTGTAATCTATGTATGCTTCCCCCCATTCTTGGACCATCTGGGAGGCAAATTCCTTCCCGAACTTCATTTTGATGGGGGGTTCAAATGGTCATAGGATGTTCGAGCTGAATATTTGTAAATATAAAGATAGAAACCAAGTCCTGAATATACTCTAAATGAGCACAGGATCGAAAGAATGATATGTAAATACAGAACTAAAACGCTATTGTCAAAAAAAAACAGTTGTCTCAAAAAAAGCTCTATAATTTTCCAAAAACTTTTTGAAAATGTTGCCTCAAAAAGTTTTAAGTATATTATGCCAGCCTGAATTTTGTCATCATACTGCTTATACAGAGTATCATTACTCACCTTTGGAATTAATAAATGAAAAAAACCAAAAGTAAGGTTGACAATTGGTAACCATTTATGGGCTGCCATCTGCAATTAGAAAAGAAATAACTTAAGGTGGTAAACAGTGGCATAGCTAGAATTGAAAGAAATATTGTTTGGGCCAATACAAAAGTTACATAATGCTTTTTGCGTAACAATTTAAAGGATTTACCAAATTTATGGCGGGCCCTTATAAACTTGCAATAGTTTTTTAACTTTACTTATTATTTTTTTATTTTATAAATAAATTGATAAATTATACGGAGTATATAGTACTCCTCTATCACTATTTAATAACACCATTGATTTTGCACAAAGTTTAAGATAATGAAGTCGTATAATTAAGATTTATTTGGAACATGAATACTCATTTTTTAAATGGCAATACTCCATAATACTACGTACAATGTAGGCAAATAAATTGTGAAACATATAAGTTGGATGTTCTGAAACAGAGCTCAATAATTCAGTTATATGATAACATACAACCATATATCAAATTTCATCCCATACGTTATACATCTCTTTAACCCTTTAAAAGAGATGGTGAAGATGGCACCATTGTCTCATATCCGGTGCTTGTCTTAAACCTTTTTGGGGTCTGATCCTTACATGGAGTGACGTGTTGCTCAGACGTCTTCCACCGCTTGTTAAAGTAATCAGCTTGCCGGCCTAATGAATCAAGTGTTTCCTTCAATCCACTCCAGCTGTGTTTCTCCTGGTCTTTGTTGCTTGTGAGGGAAACAGTCCTTTCATATTGTTTCCAAAACTGCCTTCATCAATCATTCTTTTGTAAGTTTCATCGATCACGTCATCCGCTCTATAGATCGAGTTCACAAGCTCGGGATCAACTCTTTGCAAAACCTTTTGACATTGTCTATGTATCTCAGCAACGGGCAACTCCTCTCGACACTTGATTTGGTTGACAATGTGCATCTTGGAGATTGAAAAATCCAACGTTCTTTTTTCTTCTTCTTCTTCAGCACATCTCTTGTCTTGTTTATGCTTTTGTTCAAAATGGCTTCAATCTTGTTGAGAATCCAACAGTCATCCTTAAATTTGGTGACTTCATAAAGATGAAAAGCAGCTTTGATCTGGCGTTTGAGCGAACAAATATCACCATACTCTGTATAAGCATTTCTGGCATCTTTAAAATCACGTTCATACAATGATTGGTCCACGCCTAATTCCGCCTGAAATGCTGTAACCCGGCGACTGCTCAATGTTTGACGGATATGATTCAAGCACATCGTCCATCCATCATATTCCTCATGGAGACGAAGGTGCGGTGTCAGCGGGTGAAGGAGATGCTCCGAACATACAGTTATTAACATAGGTTTGGAATGGATAGCGAAGGACAGAGTGGTGCGTTGTGCTGGCCTGGAAAGAAGACGCCGAATTGGAAGTCACTGGCAACCAAGGAAGTTTTGTCGATTGCAGATTGCGGCCGGTTGATGGGGTATACGGCTTCCCGGAAACGAGTAGAAGACGAGAAGCTTGGGCCTTGATGCAGAACTTGGTAGAGGACAACAGGTTACCATGGATGTTGATTGGAGACTTCAAGGAGATATTATATGACTGGGAGAAAAGGGGAGAATTCCACACCCGACTTGGAAGTTGCGAGGGTTTCGTGAAGCCATTTTTGCTAGCGGATTACTGGACTTCCCATTATTCTCAGGATATCAGTTTAGTACACTGGGTGGAAGAAAAGTTGTGAGATGATTGGTGGGACTCCTTCATGGCGGCTCAGGTAGAAGCACTAGTTCTAGTGTTAAAATTCAACCAACTGTCCACCATCGACCGAAAAAGAAGCTTAAATTTGAAGAGGAGCGTGGCACCGTGGTTTGCAACAATTGGGGGACAGGTATCCTTTTGCTGGAAGGAGCTTCTCAGATGGGATAGTTGTAGAAAGAGGGGATTTCGACAGCAAATTCAAGCCTGCAAACGGCGTTTGATATGGCCGAGAGACAAGGATGATAGCCGTAGTGTGGCGGAATTTCTTCTAGTTCGGGCTGTGTTGCTGTCTAAGGAAAATATTTGAAGGAATCAAAGGGCAAAAGAATTCTGACAGAGAAAGAGAAGGGGATATAAACTCCGGCATTTTCCACAATGTTATTAGGTATTACTAGAAGAAGGAAAAATAAAATGCCACGTATTACTCTATTTGATGGGTCTTGATTCACGGACCGAGACAAAATGAGTAATACTCAGTTCAGTTTTCAAAGAGTTCACAACTTGACTTCACACAAATTAAGAAAATAAATTTAACTTTACTATAGGGTGCACTGTTTGACACTATTTGGACACTGTTTGGCACTGTTTGACACTGTTTTGCACTGTTTTGGTATAGATAATTTACCAAATAAGGAAAGAAGAATAAGTGTGAAGTTAATTTCGGGACTTCCCGAAAAGGAAAGTGGGAAGTTGTTTGAGAACCGGAGGGAGTACTATTTTGGAGTATGATGGATAGTCTACCCGAGGGTATATATCCGAAGGGTTATTACGGGGAATAACTTAGAGAGAAGTCAGAGCAAGTAAGTAAAAGTAGAGAGAGAGTGTATTCAGTATGAATGCGGTTTTCAGCGTGGTTACAAATGGGGAAATGGGGTGCTATTTATAGTAGCAATAAATGCCGGGCAGGGACACGTGTCAAGCGCTCATTGGCCGAGGGGTCACCTCAACTGGTTGGCGCTGGCAGCCGCATGTGGCCGCATTTAATGCGGCTGTTGGATGGGACGTCTGTGCAGGGTACGGTGATCTGTACGCATGTGAGGCGGATATCTTGTCGAGTGAGATGCCTTCGGCCATAGAGCAGTAGCCGATGGCTCCAACCGAGGGCACCTTGGTGCCGAGGGCTCACAGTACCGAGGGCTACTGTTTTCGCCGTTTTCTCCCAGTTTCTTAGTTTGCTTGAGAAACCCGTTCTGTGAGGGTTTAGACCCTTCGGCCAGGGGCCGAAGGCACCCCTGGCGCGTAGTGCGGGCTGCTTGGTACTCTGGGCGCTGTGATTTGGGCCTGTCGGGCCTTTTGGGCCTGTTGGGCCTTCGCTGGAGTAGTAGGAGTCTGTGGGCCGGGGGTTCTCGGGCCATATACTCCATCAGGAGTCCCTCACTCCTTTTTCCGAAAGGTACTTGAGGGAAAAGGAGTAATTTGTGCTTTCCCTTTGATGTTGTCCCGTCGTGATCTCTGAAGTTGGTGAGGAGTTGTTGCTTTTATGTCCCTGCCGAAGGCAGTCCCTCAGTTACCCACATGTCGGGACTTGAGGGATTGCCTTGTCGTTTGTTGGAATTTCACTGATTTTGTAATTTAATGATTTTCCCGAGGGGGTCCTCCAGTCCCCCACTCCTTGAGGCACTTTGTAAAGTGGTGAAAAGGAGTAGAGTAGTTGCGTTGCTGTTGTGGGCCGAAGGCTGACGTTTTTTCATTTCATTTTGGGGGGATGCCTCGTTAAAAACCTCATTAGGAAAAACCCTTTGGGAAAAAATCCTAATGGGGGAAAAAGAGTGCACCGAATTCCCCCAATGATGAATCGAAAATGTCAAACCTTGGTAAAAAATGGAGAATGACGGGAATGCCGAAGGCTCTCTCTTCTGAGGGCTCCTGTGTTGATTAGCCGAAGGCTTGCTGTTGTGGGCCGAAGGGGAGCCCCTCAATTCGGGGATCGAGGGCCTGCTGGATGAGGGCGGCAATGGAGTTGTTACCGGGGGGTCCACTGTTTGTTGATTAGTTGGTGATGAAGATACCCGAGGGCTCCCATTACATGTGTGCCATGGGCCATCCGTCAATGAGGCAACTCCCCGGGGGCTACCCGGTTTTGCAGTGCTGAGGGGGAATCCCCGAGGGGTGCCCTGATATGAAGCCTTGAGTTTCTGAAGGGGTGAGCCCGAAGGCATCTGCTATGGGCTGTGTGGGGCACATCCCGGGGCGTCTATGGGTAAGTGTATCCGGAGGCTCTCCTTGATGTAGCGGAGTGCAGTAGAAAACCCGGGGGCTTCCAGAATATAGCCGTTGGGAATATAGCCGTTGGAATACGTAACGTCAGGATATAGCCGTTGAGGGGGGGGACACGTGGCGCGTGATGGCTGGCTGTCCGTGGGCGGCATCACTGGTTGGGTGAGGACGCGGTGTGTAATGATGGCGGTCCATCTGGAGGCCCGGAATCCAGGCCCAAGCCCGGATTCCGTCGCCTATAAATACCCCAAGGCCAGGGCCATTCCCCGCTGTGTGAACTCAGTGTAGCGAAGCTCTGGCAAAAATTCTAGAGAGAGAAACTCCAGCCTTCGGTAACAACTCAGCTTTCAAGGTCAGTTCCCCCCGCCTTTCTCCTTCTAGTCTAGCTGTGCCTTGTGCCCCTAGTTTAGGAGATAGAATTTCCTAGGAAACCTTAGTTTTCCCGAGCCTTCGAATTAGTGAGCAGATGTCATCACAGAGCGACTCCCAGGATATCTCGGGAGAGCCTTCGGTAGAGATGGAGACATGCTCAGATGTGGAGTCTTCGAGTGTGGAGTCCTCGGCAGGTGGTGATGCCGCAGTGGCCATGGAAGTGGAGAAGGACCTCCATGCCGAAGTCGAAGCCGAGGGCTTCGAGCAAGAAAACGAGGATGAAGAGCTTGCCCTCGCCGTGCAAACCGCCGAGCAGGAAGAGGAGAGGGAGAGGCTGAAGGTGACGGTTGCCATTCCTCCCCCCCGGGGTGCCGGGAAAGCCAGCTCCTCCCGGCCATTGGACCCGACGCCCATAAGTGTGTCTCCCGGGAAGAAACACAAGACGAAGGCGGCCCCGAGGAAGAAGCAAGCGGCAGTGGATGCCGGGCGGCCGGTGGGCATACTCGAGGGCCATTCGTTCTTGAATACTGCCGCTCTAGAGCTGAAGACGAAGGCATCCCCGGCAGAATACCAGTCCACCCAGATGCTGGTTGGACCTTCGGCGCGCGTGGTGGAGCCCAGGGCGGATGATTTGCTGCGATACGCGCCCGATGGGTGCTTTGCTGCTCACACCCTCTCGGTGGAGATGGGGCTCCGGTTCCCGCTCCATCCTTTTCTCTTGGAGTATCTGAGATTTGTGGGGTTGGCCCCTTGCCAGCTAACGCCCAACAGCCACTCCTATGTGGCCGGCTTCCTCTCCTTGTGTCAGAGCCGGGGGGTCGAGCCCACACTCGATCAATTCTTCATGTCCTTCAACCTTTGCCGGGGGGACATTCAAATGCTGAGGGCTTTGCCAACCTTCAGCAGGTACCGGAGTTCCGGCTTTTTGATGATGTGCCCTCGTCTCACAAGGGGTGGAAAGAGAGGTTCTGCTATATCCGCCTCGGGGAGAACCCCTCCCGGCCCAGCTCCGTAATAGCTTCCGGCGCCATCCGAAGGTGGGGAGCGCAGCTTTGGAAAAGAATGGCAAAGTGCTCGCCAAGAAGCCGGAGGGGTCTGACAAGCATGTCAAGATCAGAGAAGTTACTCTTCCGGAGGATTTGCTTAACCTGGGCTTCCGGCAGTTCAGGCCGAGGGGATCTTCGGATGAAAGATACCCTCCCCTCGATAGGGTCTTCGAAGGCGCCGGAGGTGATCACCGAGTTGTTCACTGATGCGTTGATAGTTCTCTCTTATTCCGCCCCCCTTTTTTTTATGACGTAGTAACTGGTAGCCTTCGATCTAACCCTCCTATTTTTTTTGTTGCTTGCAGGTAACAATATGGACGTTGGTTCCCTCTTCGCTTTGAAAAACGCGAAAGGGAAGAAGAAGGCCCCGACGGGCGCTTCTGCCAGGGAGGGGCCCTCTCAAACTGCTGGCGCTGCTGCTGGCGCCGGAGGGTCCAAGGGTGCTGGGCCCGTTAAAAAGAAGATTGCTGGAAAGGGGACCGAGCCCCCGGCCAAGAAGCCGAAGACCACCGCCCCTACCAAACAACCGATCACCGATGTGGTGGTGATTGTGGACGAAGGGCACGCTTCTGCCTCCACCCCACAGGAACAAATCAATCAGGAGTTCTTTGGGCGGGAAAGGTTGGAGGCGTTAGTACCGAAGGGGGCCTCCGTGTTGGAGGGCAGCTTGAACCCTTCGGCTCTGATGAGCCAGATGCTGCCGTCGGCCGACCGACTGGCCCTTGCCCGGCTGGACGAGGGATCCCTCGAGGCGAAGGTCATCCTGAACGCTGCCTCTGTAAGTCACCTTCCCTTCTTTGCTCATTGTTATGTTTTCCTTCTGTATTAAGTTCATTATGCCTTATTCTTGCCTTCGTGAATTGCAGACTTTCATGGGCCTCTGCGAGCACCTCCGAAGGGTGGATCAAATGAGGGAGGCCAAGGGTGCCGCCGAGGGGGAGGCCGCCCTCCTCAGGAAGAAGCTTGCTGAAGCCGAGGACTCTCTCCGTCTGGCCACCGACGGCATGGAGCAGAGGGTGCACGCTGCAAGGGCCGAAGGGGTCAATGAGGGGCTAGCCAGGGCCGGGGAGGCTGCCGCTGAGGCCGCCCGTACTGCTGCCGATGAAGCCCGCGCGGCTCAAGAAGAGGCCGTCTCCAAGGCTCGAGAGGATGCGGTGATCAGCTTCACGGCCGAAGGGTGGAAGGCCGAAGACCGGAGGGAATGGCTCGCTTCGGTGGTGGGGGCTTCAGTAGACGAGTGGGTCGGGGGGCCCGGAAAGATGTGGCTTGCCGAGAGGGGCGACTCGTACTACCAAGGCGGGGAGTTCTTCACCCAACGCCTCATCTACCGGAAGCTTGCGAAGCACTTCCAGGTGGCACCGGAGGAGTTCCGTCCAGAGGCTTATGGTCTCCCCCCCCAGCCAGATGTCAGGATCCCGCTCCCCGAGGGGGAAGAGAGGCCAGTTCTTGAAGACTCGGAGACCCTCCGGGAGTGCGGCCTTGGGGGTGAAGAAGATGAAGCCGAGAGCGAGGCGATGCCCACAGTACCCCCTTCTTGAATTGTAATCCCCCCTTTCGTGTTGTAATTGTTGGCCTCGGCCTCCTTTGTAACAGTGTATTTAAACTCCCTTTTTTGAATGAATGAGTACATATATGCCCTCGGGCCTTTGACATATAGCATGCTTCCTTTTGATTTGTTCATTGTCGAATACATGCCTTCGTCTTGCTATGGATGTATGCCTGTGTCTCTTTGAAT